TTTCTTTCTTTTTCTTTCTTTTTTCTTTTTTTTTTTTTTTTTTTTTTTTGCTTTTTAGGGGGATATTGACAATCAAGAATTTGGTTTTAAGGGCTGGGAATGTAGTTCAGTAGAACAGTGCCTGCCTGGTATGTGCTAAACCCTGGGTGCAATTCCCAGCACTACCAAAAATAAATAAATAAATAAATTTGCTTTTAGATTTGTTAAGTTTCTCATTCTTTTTGTATTAGTTTTCTATGCTGCAGAACAAATTACCACAAACTTAGGGGCATAAAACAATAYACATTTATTAGCTCACAGTTTCTGTAAGATCAGACATATCTTAGCTGGTTCTCTTCTTTGAGATCTCAACAAGCTGTGGTCAAGGTGTTGACTAGGGCTGGGTTCTTGCCTGGAGATTAGACTAGAGAAGTCTCCACTTCCAAGCTCMGTTAGATTGTTGGCAGAATTCATTTCATTGTGGCTGTAGGATTGAAAGCTTCAGTTTTTTGTTGGCTCTTGGCTGGATGCTATTTTTGTCTCCTAGAAGGTGCCTCTAATTCCCTGTCATGTGATTCTTTGCATAGGCAGGTCACAACATGGCTTCCTGCTTCYTTTAAGCCCAGTAAAAGAATGAGAACCAGTATGCTTACTGGACAGGGTCTTGTGTAATATATACCATAGTCAAGGAAATGATATCCCATTTCTTTGCCATAAAATGTAACATAATCATGGGAATAATTTGCATCAACTTTGCTATATTCTGTTGGTTAGAAGCAAATCACAAGTCCTCCCTCAAGGAGAGAGGGTGGAATGTAGCTCAATGGCAAAGTGTTTGCCTTGCATACACAAAGCCCTTGGTTTGATCTCTAGTTACTCCTCCGTCCCCAGAAGAAAAGACACACTCAAGGAGAGAGTAGACATGAACACTAGGAGATTCGGATCACGAGGACCACCTTAAAATCTGTCCACCAGACAATCCAAGTAGATTTATCCTGTAGTAGTTGGATATACCTGAGTCTGGATTTTGGGGGAGAGGTCTACATTTAGGAATTATGGATATATAGATAATACTGAAAAAATGGGGGCTCTAGCTGCTGCCTAGGATGTAGAAAGCTGGATAGAGTGTTGCTTATACCTAAAACAAAAATAAATTATGTAATCTGCAAACTCATAAATTTTCTTGAACCCACAGAGATAGGATATGTGCATGGCATCTGTGGCAGAGTACAAAACAAGGTCAGACTGTCTTACCAGGGAGAAAGAATAATTTAGCTAAATTTTTAATGAATTATAAAGTTCAGGAATAGGCTAGCATGAGAATCCAGAACCTTTGGGAGCTGCAGACATATCTTTTTATAGGCTTTTCTTGAAGGATCTCTAACATTTGCTCATAAGAAAGCTGGGACAAGAAGTGGAGGTGGGGTGAGCAAAAGAAACCAGAGAAAGCCTGTCTGTATGGGTCCAGGCCTGCTTGGTCCATTTTTTCCTATGGAAAAGGAGTTTAAAACCACTGGARAAAGGGATCAAACCCTTTTTTCCATGGTGTCTGGAAGAAATAGAAAAGAAAAAGAAAACCAACAACCCTGAGGAAAGGCAGGAAACTGTCCTGGTCTCACATCATTAGTGTTTCTGCCACTAGGAGAAAGCCCACCCACTAAAACCTAAGAATATAAATCCTACCTGAGACTGAGACAGGGACAGGATAATAGAGAACCTTCCCTCTTCTGCTTTCAAGTGTAGCAACAACAGTCTATCCCTGGGGGAGGAACAGGAGTATGGAGAAAGCCTCTTGGGGGGAACTGCAGAGAGACAGCCTGAAGCTGAGGATGGAGCAAGAGCAGTGAGAAAAACCCTCTGGCAAACCAGCCCCTCCACCATCCCAAGCAGGCCCCACTAGAAATTTAAGCTGGTTAGTACACTTTAGCTAATCATAATAAACTCAGCCCAGTTTGATTTCTGAATAGATTGGCTCAACCCTCCCCCACTTAACACACACTTATGATATAGAAGAAGAATCATATCCATTTCTAAGCATAAATACTATTTGCCTCAGTCTGAACTATCTTACACATGATGTCYATCATTCAGGCAGAAATTATGAATTGAAACATCAAAAAAGCAAGAAAAAAATTACTTTCCAGAAACCAAAATAATTAACAGAACCAGATTCAAGATGATCTAGCTGTTGGAAGTATCAGATAATGAATTTAAAACAATATGTTATTCTAGTGTTCATCATGCCTGAATGGAAACTATATGAAAAATCAAATAGAAATAAAAACGGTAACATAGATGAAATGGTATTTGAATTTATTAGTAGAGTTTCCTCAAACACAACTGAGGAAATAATCTGTGAATTTGAGCCAGTAGAAATTGTCAAATTGGAAAACAGAAAAACAGAACATAACATTCAAGAACTGGGGGACTACATCTGTTTAATGTAAGTGTAATCAGTCATGGAACTAGATGAGATTACTGAAAGGTGGATATCATTGTAATGGTTGATTTGAATCGCCAACTTGATTGGATTAAGAGATGCCAATGATTAAGAGGTTTCTGGGTGTGTCAACGAGGGTGTGTGCCGGAATGATTGGCATGTGGTATAGCTTACGGGAGACCCTCCCTAAGCATGGGCTTCACCATTCAATAGGATGATGGCTTGGGTGGAATAAAAGTTGGAAGAACAAGGAAGCAGCAGCTTTAACAGTTCTTGATTGCTGCTGTGATCATCTGAGGATATTGGACTGTCACTTCTTCACTCTTCTAAAGTGGACTCTGCCAGTGATTCTTTAGGGAGTTCTTTGGTTTTGGACTAGGGTAGCACCATTGATGCCTCTTGTTCTGGAGCTTCAGCCTCTTGGACTACGYAGCTCCTGGTTCTTCCAGCTCTCCAGCCTGTAGAYGGCCATTGTGGACTATCCAGCTTCTGGTCGCATAGCCAACCTACTAAATCCTCTTTTTGTAATTATACTTCCTATTGATTCTGTTCCTCTAGAGAACCCTAATACAATCAACAAAGAATGAAGTCAGTGGTTCTGGGCCTCTCTTGTATCAACTATCATTCTGTAAATAGTTGTTCTTTTTGCCATCTACTTAGTGCCGTGTCTTTTGCATTTTGTGCTGTTTAAAATGGCTCCAAACATAGTACTTTAGTGCTCTCTTGTGTTCCCAAGTGCAAGAAGGCTGTAATGGAGAAAATAGCATGTTGTTTTTGATAAATTTCATTTAGGCATGAATTATAGTGCTATTGACTGTGAGCTCAATGTTAATGGCTTAACAACATGTTTTAAATAAGGTATCTTTAAGTAGAAATACACATAAAACAAGGTTATATATTGATCAGTTGTTGAGAATGTTGTGCCCAGAGACCCGTAGAAACATAATTCCCTATTTCCCCTAAGGAGCAGTGGTTCTTTTTTTTTTTTTTTTTTTTAGTTGTAGTTGGACACAACACCTTTATTTCATTTTATTTTTTTTGTGGTGCTGAGGTCTCGCATGTGTGAGGCACAACTCCAGCCCCAGAGGTTCATTTTTTGATAATTCATTGTATGTG